AGGGGGCTTGGAGCACCCTGTTCTAGTGGAAGGTTCCCCTGCCTGTGGCAGGAGGTTGGAGCTGGATAAGCTTTAAGCTTCCTTCCAAGCTAAACCAGTCTGGGATTCTATGAAAAGAAGAGAGAAACAGATAGCAAAGGCAGGTATGGAGTGAAGCTGTGAGGGACTGAGGAGATGCAGACCTGCAGCTGTGCTGGCACTGGGCAGACATGGTTAAGTCAGGTTTTGGAAAGTAATGAATGTTCTAAAAGCCTGGCATCTCGGGCTTCTTGCTCTCTGCAGTCTTCCTTGCTGCTAGCTATTGCTCTGCGCTCATCTCATTACACTTGTCTAATTACTTATGCTTCCTCCTCATTCCAAATTAGGGAAGATAGGGTTTGCTGCTTGAATGTGTTGTCTGAGTAAAAATCTCCCTGAGGCAAAAAAGGGAGTACAGTCTGTCCCTTAGAGGCAATGATTTGTAGTTATGGTATCTGGGACCTGCCCCCCCCGAAGGGATGTTCAGAGAAAGATGCAGATTTGTGTACTGTTGGATGGCTTTTGATGAAGTTTTGACCATATTTGCTGTGATATGATCTTAAGGTCCTTTCCACCCTTAACCATTATATGGTATGCCATGCAGTAAACTCAGAGGTTGCTCTTTTCATCTGTTTTTTAAACAACTCTTTCCAAATAACTCAGGTTTATGGTCTTATGTATGAAATTAGAAGGTATACACATCCCAAATGGATTTTGACCGATACAATTTTCAACTCATAGCCAATTGGTACCATTCTGAGCAGATGTCCTTTTCCCTACCTGGAGATTTAACATTCTTCTGTAAAATAAAAAGTCAGAAAATGTCCCTGAAAAGCCACTCCTGTGATGAGCATTTCTTGTAAAAACAAACTCAAGTTGCTAGTGAATTTTTATGCTTTTTAAATGGTCTGTGTATTTCCAAGGGTAGGATTGTGAATTAGGCATGGGAAGTGCTATTGAAAGGAGACATGAATTATTGCTAGTACTTTTTTATGTTTCTACAGTTGCCCTGGGCAGTTTTTCAGATAAATGCTTGGAAATGGAATTGTGTTTTAAGTCTTACATCTCTTGTATCTTGCAGCACTTACACAGTGTTAATACAAGATGGGAATAACACCTTTGCCACCAGCAGATTGCAAAGCCACAGAGGTTTTATAAGTGGGGAAAAAAATGGTGATGGACTTAGTAACCAGTGAACCCACTTCCCTGGCTACAGGCCATCTGTATTTTTGGCCTGGCTTCTTGACCAGCTGGCTCCCTTCAGTCTGTATCTAAGATGATCTCTTTCTCAGATGATATGAACTTGCAATGATAGATAAGAGAAGTGAGAAATGTTTCCACATGTTATTAATCTATTTGTCAGAATTGAAACCCAGATGTCTTGAGTGGAAAAGGACAGATGATCTTGGTGGTGATTAACCCCCAAAGGAGAAAACCAAATCCACCAAGTAGATGACTTATGAACTAGTGTGCTGGTAATTAGATTAAATCCCAGTCATTTTATTTATTTATTTCTGGCCAACAAAATCCCAGCTGGCTAGCTGTAAAATTGCAGGTGTTAACTTGCAAAATTGTTTTGAGTAAGTATTAGGGGGGGCTCCTCCCCTCTGCTTGCTGTTTGAAGATAGGTCAGTGTGCTCCAGGCAAGGAGTCCTTGATACAAGGATATGGTCTCTCTGTTTTCCGTGTTAGCATGTGTACTCATTCTTCTTCTCCTCTCTCTTTCTCCACACCCTCATTCCCTGCTTCCAGTTATTAAATTCCTTATCCAAAAATCCAGATGCTGACTGCAAATACGGACTCTACTTCAGAGATGGCAAGAGAAAAGTAGACTACATCCTAGTTTATCAATACAAGAAGTCCTCAGCAGGGAGGACCCTTGCCAGGAGGGCTCATAACGATTCAACTGCCCGGAGCACCAAGCAGGAGCAGCCGCTTCCTGGGAAAGGAGTGCAGCTGGAAATGGGGGAAAGTGAGCCTCACATGGATTACCACGAAGATGACAAGAGATTTCGCAGGGAGGAGTACGAAGGGAACCTTGTGGAGGCTGGCCTGGAACTGGAACGCGATGAGGATGTAAGGAGCCATTTCAAAGAGTTAAAAATAAGGAGGATAACTGGTGGTTGAATCTTGGGAGAAGTTACAGAAGCCCAGCTCTTCCAGAATTTGATTCCAGTTTTGGCAGTGCCATCCTTGCCCAGTGATTTAATTCACCTCACAGCAATGGGCCGTGGTGGTGTTATTGCCACAGCAAGGTGAAGTTCCTTACTTTTCTTGGCCAGGACTCATGGCACATCCACTATTGCAACACAGCTTGTTGATGTGTTGCCATATCTAGATGTGAAGCTTAGACTGCTCTCAACACTAATCCTAGTTTGGTGGGTTTACAGTGTGCTGTGGTTTGGAGCCACTGGTAAATCCAGTTCTGATGCAAAATATCTGATACTGGCAGTGACATTTCCCTACCTCAGTATAGACTTCAAGGGAATTAAATTTGCTCAGGAGGTTCTGGTACATGCTTTAGCTGGAGCACATGGGTCTGTATTACAGTTTGCTCTTTCCATTCTTAGATATGAACAGTACAGCTTGTAACGCTTTCACCTGTACCCTGAAAACAGCATATTCTATTAAAAGACCATTGGACTCTGTGAAAAATTATGTGTGTGAAGTAGTGCCAATGTGTGATTAGTAGGAATAAGCAGGGCTGTATTGATTTCAAAGAAAGCTATTATAATTAACTAATCCAACTGATACGCCTGAAAATCCTGTGAAGAAGGGTAAATATTTTTGCAAGTTTTCTTTACTGGATCTAAAAGTTGAGATTAGACCTGTGATCAGAGTGTTAAATAAATCTATCACCTATTACCCACAAATTACAGGCAGGTACATAATGAGATATATATGTAAAATATATATCTGTATATCTCATATGTCTATCTTAGGGACCTTCCAATACTTAAAGGGGCCTACAAGAAATCTGGAGAGGGGCTTTGGACAAGGGCCTGTAGGGACAGGACAAGGGGGAATGGCTTTAACCTGTCAGAAGGGAGATTGAGATGAGCTCTTAGGCAGGAGTTGTTCCCTGTGAGGGTGCTGAGGCGCTGGCACAGGGTGCCCAGAGAAGCTGTGGCTGCCCCATCCCTGGCAGTGTTCAAGGCCAGGTTGGATGGGGCTTGGAGCAATGTGGTCTAGCAGAAGGTTTCCCTGCCCATGGCAGAGAGTGGAACTGTATGAACTTTAAGGTCCTTCCACTCCAAACCGGTCTGGGATTTTTGATTCATATGATCTATGAAATAAAACACATATTTTGCATGTTATAATGCAAAAAAACCTTGTACCCCAGATGGGTATAAGACTTGCTTTTTTATAAAACTTGCAAGTTGCAGTGAACTGGAAGCTTGCTGTGTCAAGTCATAGATAGTAAAATCCTTTGCAAAACGGACGTCCCCACCTATGACATGTAATATGATTTGAAATGATGGAGAAGGAAGGGCTCAGAGTTCAAGCCAGAACACCATGAAAGAGAGAGAACTCTGCTCTTTTTGTACAAGATACCAAACCAGATCAAGAATGTACAGAGATGAAGGCAAGCCGCAGGGATTTGCACTGGATTCCATGTTCAGCTCATTCGGTGTAGGGGAAAAAACCTGGGATAGAAAAGTACACCCCAAAGTTGTATTGGAGGCCATACTAATTGCAAAGAAAGAAAGGTTTCTTAAACAGGTTATGTTTGCTAAGTCCCTGAAACTCCCTTCCATGAAATAAATCCAAAAGTGATTTGGAAGCTGTGCTCTGTGGGAAGTCTGGCAGTTATTTATGACCTCTGAGTAACCAATTTCTAGAAAGCCAGTGTGGAATGTTGCTGCATGAAAGCTAGTTATTATAATAACTGTCTGAATTGACACAGCAGCAAGATTAGAAAGATTCATTCAAGCTTCTTGGTCTTCTGTTTGCTGTGTGCCTGCTAATTTAATGTAATTTCTCCAGTGGCTTTGAAATTATGATTCCCTGGGAGTCAATACGGGTGTATGTGAAAGTGTCAGGAGCAAAATGCAGCTCAGAGAACTAGTGGGACGCAGGCAAGCATTATCACTAACTTTTTTCTTTGTTTAATCATTTGTTTTGTTGAATTCTACCTACTAGTTTTCCTAATGAAAATCCTTAGTGTTTTAATGCAGATTTGGTTTTAATGCAGAGAAGGTTCACTTCTGTACTGGAGACTGCTGTTTTTTTCCTGCAGTTCTGATCCTCTGAGGTAGTGAACAGCTCTTAGGAGGCAGCTCAACGCACTCAAGAAATGATACCATCTGGCTGGATGCCTATGCTTCAGATTTAACTGCCTTAGTCTGTATTTGTGTCCACGGTCGTTAGTTTTTATTTCCCAAACCATTTTGATCTGTTTAACCTTGTGGTAATTGTTCTGAAACACAATAGCATTTTTGAGTCAGATTTTATAGCAGCTCAGCACAAAGAGGTGTTCAGTGATTGTTCTGTTGTTAGAAACTGTCTGTCCCAAACAAAGGAGATTAATCATGTTGGTGGTAATAGTAACAATAGTTTGTTCCTTAAATACTTGTGAAACACAAGGGGAAAAATACTTAATTTCCTCTCTTCAGTAACCTTTTGCTTTTCTTTCAGTAAACTTCTCACTTTTTTCTTTAAAGACTAAAATCCATGGGATTGGATTCATAAAAATACATGCACCATGGAATGTGTTGTGTCGAGAGGCTGAATTTCTCAAGCTCAAGATGCCCACAAAAAAGGTGAGTCCTGATTTTCTTTTTTTGCTCCTCTGGAAGGCATAGTTTAAACATATCTCTGAGGACCTTATAAACATGGACTTTTCTTCTCACAAGTGTTTTTAAACTTGTGGAAGGAAATAAATGCCACCGACTTACTTACTCAGGAAAGCAGAAAGAATAAATGGAAGGAGGGATGGAAATCCAGAATTCCTAGTAGCTACGTGTACACAGTGAGAGTGATCTCATTTGATGCCTCAACCTCACAGTGTGTTTTAAAAGAAGATGTTGTAACTGATGATGTCATTTCTCTCTGCGTTTCAGAGTTTTTTTTCCTCACCCAAAACACTGGACTACTGAAAATGATCATGAAGCTAACAATTTGTTTGCAGTAGCCTTGCTGGGTTTAGTGACTCGTCATATATATCATTAGTCATGTTTGCAGGAGCTGGGACTACTGTACCACAAAATAAATTACCTTTCAGAGGATTTGAAATATCATTAAAGAAATGACAGTGTATTTTCATCAGTTCTAAATCATCTATGATAGATTGCTACCTGCTCACTGAGCACAGATTAGAGATGGATTAATATTTAAACACTTACTAAGTGCACATCCCAGACTGCAGAAGGAAGTCTATAATGGAGCAAGAGACAGTCTCAAAGCCCAGAGTCAGTTATTACAACACTAAAGCGACACTTTTGGTTTGGATTTCAGATTAATCCCCATTATTGCCTCACTCACCACCGATTTTAATCAGAAGCACCAATTAGATAAAAAAAGTCTGTTGTGATCCTGTGGCTAAAGCTGCTTTGCACAAACGAGAAGTTATGTGGGCATTTGTGGGGCTTCTTATTGTGTGTGAAAGAGGTCACCTAGCCCTGCAGTCATTGCCCAGGAGAAGTGATGTGCCTGAGAACACCCTCAGACCCCTAAAGCCTTATTTCCAGACAAGCATCTTTCTGCAGTGGGAGCCTGGCCCTGAATCTGCACTTATTTTATATGGCTCAGGGAGTGAAGCCTGTAAAATCCTCTTCTGTGACCTGCTAACACAATTCCTGCATTTAGCGCTACAGAATTGCGGTTGCTATTCAAGGTATGTTGGTTCCTTTATATGGAAAAGGGGAAACTCCTGAAACCTGCACAATATCCCCAGGAAAGCCCCCTGAGAGAGGAGACCACTTCTGTTGTTTTGCACAGGGACTTAGTGGCTCCTTCATTTCTTTGTCCCATTGCACAAAGAAAATAGTAAATGCCAGAGAAGCTGGTGTCTCAGGAGCCTGTGCTGATTGTATCTCTGCACATCTCAATCTGATTATTTGGAAACAAACACAGGCCATGTTTTGGCTCAGAGGAAGAGCAGTAGCCTTCCTTAGGTTGCCTTGGTTTGACTTTCACATCCATCGCTGCCTTTCTGAATGTTTTCAAGAAGGTAAGCTATACTTCCTGAAAATTTATTGTGATGTTTATGTATTGTGTATTTATGTAATTAATGGCTTATTCCTTACAATTCACTATCATTTATGGATAAGCAATAAGCAATAAAGTTTTACTGTTTTTCTCTTTGCCCTCTCAGATGTATCAGATCAATCAGACCCACGGTCTTCTGAAAAAGATTAATTCTGTCATTCAAAAAATAACAGAACCCATCCAGCCAAAAGTAGCAGAACACAAACCTCAGATGGTGAAGCGCCTCTCCTACCCCTTCTCCAGAGAGAAGCAGCACTTGTAAGTGAAAGCTTTCTGTAAATGTCCATGTCAAGACGTTCCAGCCTTTCTGCTAGTAGCTAAGGCACCAAAAGGTGACAGGGAAAATGAATGCCAACACTTTCTTAGGGATTACAAGAAATCTGGAGGGGACTTTTTGTAAGGGTCTGTAGGGACAGGACAAGGGGGAATGGCTTTAACCTGACAGAGGGGAGATTGAGATGAGCTCTTAGGCAGAAGTTGTTCCCTGTGAGGGTGCTGAGGCCCTGGCACAGGTTGCCCAGAGAAGCTGTGGCTGCCCCATCCCTGGCAGTGTTCAA